AATTGGTTGAAAGAGATTGAAAATCTTGTTAACTATACGTTTAAATAATAATGTAATGAATTACTTAAGTTAATGATAAGCAAACATTTCATAATACAAACAGTGTTGAACATCATGTTCATTTCATTTACCATATAATAAACTAATTGTAAAATAATAACAGTGGTAAATATTTTGGCGACAAAATAAATATTAGTTATTTTATATCATAATCACAAGTAATGGACAAAAATACAAACATTATAACAACAGTTGTCTCTCTACCAGACATTTATAAATATAATTTTTTGTTAAAACAATGTCTGGTTTTTATGATTTTCTTATCTCTCAGTCTCTGATTGTGGAGGCAATGAAACGAGAAATCTCTCTCTCTCTCTCTCTCTCTCTCTCTCTCTCTCTCTCTCAATGGCTAAACACTTAACCTGTCATTCAATCAATTCATCCGCAAAGAAGTGCTGGAAGTATAAGAAGACGACGAAAAATAGTAATAAAAAATATTAAGATTCAAAAATATTTAAATACCAAAATACTAGAGATTATAATCAACTGTTTTTTAGCAGACTTTCAATCGGGTATTCATTTTCACAGCATTTTTCATGAAATTTTCGACACAAAAAAATATTAAACAAAAAGTTTTTGTCAAAAATTATTTTCACACATACTATTGAATAGATAATTGAGACTAAAAATACCATATTATGTAGCAAAATGAAAGTTAAGCGCAAAAAATAATAATAAAATATTCATATTTTCGTCAAGAAATCTCTCACTAATCGAAAGGTTTAAAGACATTTCGTTTGGAAAATATGATAATATCTATAATAAAATCACAAAAAACTTTATTTTACAATACATTACAATAGGAGTGAAATTATTTTTCACACATTTATGAACAAAACGGCGACTTTTTTCACACCATTGGAGGCGAAAGAAGTCTTAAACATAAAATAAAATCATAATTTATTCCTTCGCTTACAATACATAACAATACATAAGAAATTCTCCAATAATTTAGTCATCAAATCGTTTTTCACAATACATTATATCATAATTTATATACAAGAAACATCAGTCAACCCATCGATACCCATAGGCTTTAACACATTATATAGGCATTTAAGTCCAAAAATATATATATAGTTTTAAAGATATTTTTTCTATCAAAAAATAATTATGATATTTATCTATGGGTTAAAAGTTATGAAAAAAGCCTTTCACTGTATGTGTTGTGAACACAGAGAAATACAACTCATAGAAAACCTATTGATTATATAATGTATGAAAAAAGTGAGAGAAATATTTTAATCTCAAGACACATACAGAAAAAGTTTTCACATTTTAATTATAATAATCACTGAATCAAAAGGTTGTGAAGTGTAAGAGAAAGACAGACAGAAAGCCCAATAGATGTGTCAATTAGTAGACCATAAGTGTAGACATAGAGANACTTAAATGCCTATATAATGTGTTAAAGCCTATGGGTATCGATGGGTTGACTGATGTTTCTTGTATATAAATTATGATATAATGTATTGTGAAAAAAGTGAGAGAGAGAGAGAGAGAGAGAGAGAGAGAGAGAGTCATTCAAACCACTTATGGTATCAAAAGATCACTAAATGATCGGTTATTTTGAATGTTTGATACGAAATGCCAATCAATTCAAACCATTTGTTGCATTCATTCAATGCATTCAAATCACTGTCAAGTCATAGGAAAAGCCCACTCAATATACACACCACCAAAACGTCAAACATTAGGGTTAGCCCACTCTGTATACCTGTATATACAGCACACGAACACATGGTAAACAGTAAATGTATATAACCGGTAAAACAAGCAGATAACCAAAGTGACCAGGCGCAAAAAACAATGGCACAGCAATTTACAATGTAATTACAAATAATCAATTAAAAAGGGGAACAAAAAGTTTTTAAAACTCAAAATACCTGTGAATTGTTGAATATATACCGGCTTTGGGAAGGGAGTGACCAGTAATACACGGGTCACACGTGTGTTGCAATCAAACGGACGGATCAACTAATGGTGATATAATTAGCGGTAATTAAAGGCCATAATTAAAAGCTTGAGTTAATCGCTATTCGCACGCAATGCTAGTGTTTGTCAACAAAACAATACAAAACCACTCAATACATGGCAATAGAGGGTTGAATGCCATCTGGTATTCACTCAAACCATACACTCCTATAGTATTGTAAACACAACTGAAGAAAAAACACATTCAAAACAAAAACACAACACTTTTTGTGCATTTCATTCATAATTAAAACTTTTAATTTAGTTATCGTTAGTAATCAATGCAGTCAAACATATTGACCATAATTTACATATTAATTGTGATATCTATCTAATGATAATGAATGCCATGGGTTTGAGATATCATTAGCCGCACCACAGCTGCAGAGACACAACCGATTGGATCCGCTTTTGGGGACCGAATCGGATGGACACGAGTCCGGCGGACACGAGAAGCGGTCGGCCGTCGCTGTCATGCGATATGCAGTCAACGGTCGTTAATAACGGCTTAATTGGCGCCAATCATAACAATGCCATCAAATTAGTGAAAGCCATCTATCAGTTTAAGGCCAATAATAATGACGAGTTGTGTTTCGACAAAGACGATGTATGTCAACCCTCTGCCCCCTCCACCCCCTCCCTCGTAGTGCCGCACGTGGATTGTGACCACTGTCACGGCCCTATTGCGCCCACACCTTGTTTTGCTGGCCATTCATTTTAACCATAATATGCTGTTTTGTTTTTGGTACAGATAATAACGTTAACCCAATGGCCATCGGGTGGCTGGTGGGAGGGCACCCTCAACGGCATCACCGGCTGGTTTCCATCCAATTACTGCCAACCGTTGACCGCATCCGATGCCGAACTCAAAGACACCGACGGCCTCTCTCTTGGCTTAAATAATGTGTCCAATAGTCACGACACAGACGCCCAACAGTACAGACAAATGGTTTGTTTTTTGTTGCCTCGTTTACTGATTGTTATAAATGTATCGCTAATCACGTGATTTCACGGTATGATTGCCCCGATATGACAGGTGTTTCAAGACATTGAGGACACGGAGTCGGCGTATGTCAGGGATATGATGGACACGATTAACAGATACCTAAAGCCTATACAACACTCACAGATGTAATGAAAACGTTAATTTAATTGATTTAATTTTTAGGTGACATTTCATAATTAATTAATATATCTTGTTTTACACCAAACAGTTTGCCAGACAATGAAATCAATTCAATCATACGTATCGTACAAGAGATCTGTTCAGTTCACCGGCGCTTTCTGGTCACACTTAACGGCCTTAATTCGTGAGTGTTTTTGGCCACCGATTTGTTTAATTTGTTTTTATCTGACCGACACGTGTGTCGCCCGCAGTCTACCCCATAAGGAGGTCCGAATCGGTGGCGTATTCTTGGAGTTCGCGCCCCATATAAAGGCCGTACACTTAGACTACTGTTCAAATCACGCAAAGTTTGTCCACTCGATTGAGAAATACAAGTTAGTTGTCCTCTCGTTGTGTCCTATCATCTCATTTATTATTATCTAATTTTAATGCTGTGTTTGAATGGTCTTTCAAATGACCGCAGAAAAGATATCTGCGCTCTGTTTAGTAGTCTTAACCCAACCGATGGTAACGCCGGTAACGTTCAGTTGACGTCGTGTTTGAGTGCCTCATTCAGACGGATCGACAAATATCCGGCTCTACTCCAAGAGCTACAGAGATATACCGATGTGAGTGGCCATTGATTTGGTCTCTTGTAGTTTTGATTGTGACAATGGTTTTGGTTTTGATTCTTAGGAAAGTCATATCGATAGAGGAGATACACAAAGGGCTGGCTTTGTATTCAGAGATCTATCGGTAAATGCATTTAATTGTCATTTTATTTTAAATATTTATCATTTCATTTAACATTACAGATGTCTTGTCTTGAGCTGAGACGACAGAAGGAGATGGAACTGGAGGTGATGTTAGGGAATATCAAGAACTGGGATCAAGGATTGGTATGCGTTTACAATACTTATGAGTGCTGAAGACATGTATTGTTAACAATTATTTGATCCATAAATCTAGAAGAATATCCAATCGTACGGCGAAATAATACGTATGGATTCCGTGAGCATTCATATTATCCCGGATTACTCTGAGATGAAGAAAGACCGATATCTGGTCCTCTTTCCGCAAATACTGCTCGTGTTGTCCGTCAGCACCGAAATGACATCATTTGTGTTTGAAGTGAGAGTTTTTTT